GTTCTCCCAGCACAGAACTCATTTGTAAGTCAAATTCTAGTGACTTAAATTTTGATGATGAATTTCTACCATGATAATTGGAGGCTTTATCCTAAACCATTGTCATCCTAACTAACTCCAGACCCAGGCTGACACAGCAGCCCCTTTCTGCAACATTACTTGCCATTACAAGAAAAAGATAAGATGGTGAAGAGTCACAAATTTTAAAGCTTCCACTCACATTTGATTAGTTAAAGCAAGTCACTAACGCAAACTTCAAGTGAGTGGGAAATTACAGTCCACCACAGGTCAGGAAGGAAAGAAAACAAGAATATTTGTGAACAGTCTTAATGACTAAAGCTAGGGAGCAAAGACTTTAGAAACATTTAATTATGTCTTTTCCCAGAGAAGGACTTGCTATGAATTAGCTTGTTGAGAATTGGCAAGTTACCAAGGATATGTTTTTCTTTTCTTGATGAAAATAAATTATTAGCAAATAGTCTTGCTGAGTTGTTGAACTTTTCAAAATGTTTCCTGTTGCCATGCCCACAGCTAAGTTTAACCTCCTAAGATAACTGCTATGGCCTGCTTTACTGTGAAGCCTGCCTTCTCTTCATCTGTTTGTCTCTTCTGCTTTCCCATGTTAAAAAGGTACACTGAATTGGCTCTCTTTTCTTATGACCCAGAAGTACAGAAATGTTTCTTCCTTTTCAATTTTCAATATTCTGAGTCTTTTAATCTTGTTCTTTGATAGGGAATTATTTTAATCACTTTCTTTTCACTGGGACTTGCTACCCAACACTAACAAATTAAAGGAAGAGAGACTTATTTTGCCTCACATTTATACTCTGTGGTTGGGTGGCTTGAAGGAAGGATGGCATAGGAGAGACATAGCAGTTAGAAAGTAGGGGGCAGGATAGCCTGAAGAAGGAGATATAACCCTCCAGGCCATGCCCCTAGTTTCCTGCATCTTCCAACCAAGCCTAACCTCCTGACATCACATTTAGCTAAAGCACCCCCATGATTCATTTTTTCAAAATCCCTACTATGAGTACATGAGACTTTGGAGGAACATCTAGATATAAAACATAGCATTCCACCCCTGGCCCTTAAAAGACACATGCACATCTCTTTATGCAAAGTGCATTTAATCCATCTCTAAGAGTCACCAATGTATCAACACTGCTGGATAGCTTGGGCCCAGTCTCCACTGAAATTTAAGGCAAACTCTTAGCTGTGAGCCCCTATAAAACTCAAAAAGAAAGCTAAACACTGCTGACATACAATGTCACAGGGTAAACCTTCCCATTCCAAAAGCGAAGAATGGGGGCATAGAAAGGAATTGGTCCAAAGCAACACTGAAATTCAGCAGGGGAAAGATTAAATCCTGTAGCTCCATATTTAGCATCTGTCATTGTGAGATGTGAGCTCCCAAGACCTTGAACAGCTTTGGCCCTATGGTATTTTTGGTCACAGCTTTCATGATTTCTCCCTTGGAGTGGCTCCACTTACTATCTACAGCTTTCTTCAGCAGATATTCTACATTTCTGGCTTCTCCTACTTCCTGGGGTCTTCACTACATTTTTTTACTTACTTTTACAGCTCCATACAATCCTCTCTCAGGAACACATTACCCGGACTCTCAGGCCTTCTTCTGAAATCTTGGTTGAAGCCTCCCTGACTCCACAACTCTTGGATTCATGCCTGTAAAAAAAGCTGCACAAAATCTGCTGTCAACTTGAGCAGTATTCAGACCCCTTGAATCATGGCTGCAGAGGACCTCAGATGGCTGAGCAATGTAAACTAAACCCCAAATAATCAATCCTTCAGGTCATCCTTCTGAGTAGGTTACTTGGGGCTGTTTTCTTAAAGCACAGTCTTTTATTTTTACACCCTTGGACTGCTAAGAGTGAGTTCTTGTTGATTCCTCACATGCCTTCAAGGTATCATTACTATTGTCCTAATGTAAATTTCTTGGCTTCTTTTTAAAGCTAATCTTTTCAGCAACCAAACTCTCTTCAGACAAAACTTTATAGTCCCCAACTTTATAGGATATTCCCCTCTAGTCAAATAATTTAATTCATTCAGCTATGCTATTTGTTCTTGATTTTTCAATATAAACTCGGCTAAATGCTGCCAAAAGTATTCATGCCACAGTCTGAACATTGGGCTACCTTGAAATTTCCTCCTCCAGATTAAGTAGTTCCTTATTCTTACTTTCAGTCTCTGGACATGAGCAAAATGGAGGCAAATTTTTTGCAATAGCATAAGACAGGTGGTATGGAATCCAACTGCTGATTGAATCCAACCATCCTTATTCCCAACTGAAACCTCCAGTACCTGACCTTTACTGTCTGCATTTTTTATCATCATTCTGGTCTTCTGAGCTCATACCAGAATCTCCCTTCAAGATCAACTTACAGCATTCTATGACTTCTCTAGCCAGAATTTCTAAATCTTTCCAAATTCCTTATGTGTACCAGTTGCAAAGGCTTTTGAACCACATGGTCAAGTAGTTACAGCAAAGGCTCTACTTTTCTGGTACCAAAATCTGCCTTAGCTACTTTCTTGTTGCTGAGACTCACTACCTGGCACCAATAAATTAAAAGAAGAGAGATTAATTTTGGCTCACACTTACATGGTCAACTGGCTCCAAGGCAGGCATCATGACAGAGGGGCATAGTGGATGAAGGCTGCTCACATCATGGCAGCTGGAAAGCAGAGAGAAAAGGTGGAGCTGGAGAGGGCGATATACTCTTTCAGGTCACGACCCCAGTGACCTGCATCATCCAACTAGGCCCTTCTCCAACATCACATTTAGCTACAGTGTCCCCAAGATTCAATCACCTTTCAAAGCCTGTGAGTTCATGAGGCTTTGGGGGGACATCTAGATAAGAAACATAAAGGAGCTTTCCTCAAAGTATTTGGATTTGTAGTCTGTCTGCCTCTCCTGAGGCTATGGTTAGCTGAACCCTTGACAGAAGGCAGAAGGTCTGTTTTCCAAGACTCATTCACCTACTGGAAAGTTAGTGCTGGCTGCACACAGGAATCCTTAGTTCCTCCTCTCATGTGGTCTCTGCAGTGCTGTTGAGGGAAGAGAGGCAAGGACAGAGCTACAGTGGTTTTAGGACTGAAACTCAAAGTCAAGCACTGTCACTTCCACAGAATTCTATTGCTCACTCAGGGCAGTGTGGAAAGACATTATACAGAAATGTGGTCCCTGGGAAACAAGGATCATTGGTGACATCTTGGATGCTGGCTACCCAGGAAGTAAGTAAGGCAGGAATTCTCTCAATTCACTTGGCATCCACCCCAACTATGAAAGTAAGAAAAACAGTAAATTCTATAAAGGTAAGGATTTACTTTTTTCTAGGTATTTACTGTTTCATACTTTGGACATTATCTAGCCCCCTAATAGCATTTCAATAAATGTTTTTGCAATTAAAAAATCAGAAAAAAAATTAAAAAGCATCTCTGTGAAACAGTAGAAATACTGATTTATTTTTAGCTTCAAGGACAACAAATGCTTTTGAAATGTGGTATACAGGGCCTTCTTATATTATAGATTCCCAAAACAACATTGAAAAAATAAGAACCAGTAAGTCTCCTCCATGTTAATTGAAATTCACCAGCTTTTAGAAGCATGATTTCATTAGGGAGGTAATGTAACACAGCAACTAGACTCAGAAGAACTGAGATTTTTGTCTAGGTCCTATTACCAATGAACTTGGCATATTTAGGCAAGTCATTTCTCTCTGGACCTCAGTCTTCCTATTTGTAAAATTAGAGATTTGGATTAAATGATAAAAAGATACTTTTAGTATGAACATTCTGATAATGTTTATTTGATCTCAGCTTGAAATTCAACATATATTTAAAACTTGGCTTACAAGAAACTGTTTCTGCGAGTGAGGATGTAGCTCAGTGATAGTGTACCTAACTATTATCAGAGCTAACAAAGCTCTGAGTTTGATCATTAGTGTTCATTCTCCATTGCTACTCAATGCCTGCAGTCCCTGGCAACCACTAATCTGCTTTCTGGTGCTATAGATTTGTCTATTCTAGTCATTTCCTATAAATAGAATTATGCAAAATGCAATGTTTCATTTTTGGCCTGTGTGATATTATAATAGAATGAGAAATATATGTTTGGTCTCTGTCTCTAATTCCTGGCATACAGCTAAAATCCTTGGAATCTCTGGAGAGGTAGGGTTGCTTTTGTATGCTAATGAGTTGATCAGTGTCTAGGAATGGATTTTCAGGCAGAGGAACTGTGGGAATCTGGCCTGTTAAATTTGAAATTTGAGGGGAGCATTAAAGTAGGATGTGCTAAATTCCATTAGAAGAAATGCACGCCAGCTTCAAGGGAATGGCAGCCATGAGCAGACCAGCTTCATGTACTTATTTAAAGTGGCCACTGGCCCCATGAAATGAGTGGATATGGGGAGCTGCAGCAGTACAGAGAGGCTGAATGGGGCATGCTCTTCTTGCATCCTTTGAGGCATAAAATAACTATAAGAGCTGTTCAATTAGCCAGCAAAAGAAACAGATTGCTCATGGCTGTATGGCAGATTTTCCTCTTGGAAGGCCCTGCACATAGCTGGCCAGTGAGACTGCTGGTGGAAGCCCTGGGAGCTCCTCAAGAGAATAGACTCTTACTCTGGACTGGGCTTCAGTTACCTCCTGGAAGATGTAAGGGCTTTGAAGGCCATAGGAGAAGCAGAACAGAAAATATTGCACCAGTTTGAGTGGTGAAGTCACACCTCCTCAGACCAGAAACATAGCAGATAGTCTATAATGTCAAGTGGGCAGAGAGATACTTCCTCAGAGAGATAGCTGGATAGAAATTAGAATGAACAGGCAATTTGAACATCAGCTGTCTGAAGCAGAAGATGGGATAACGGCCTGAGGGACTGTCTTGGGAGTGTTCCTACTAGACTGTTTTCCTTCCCTAGTGGATCTGGAAAGGAGAAAGGGATAGGCAAGGCTACTGGTCATAATCATACAATTTTTACCAAGGGAGAAATATGCTGGTACAATACCAATATGTTTTCACCTTTCTTCTCTGTATCACCTCAACATACATCTTCCTGATGCTGTGATGACAGGACCCAGGCTGCAAGTAATAAGTGCTGGAAGCAGTGATGTTTCTTAAGAAAGAAATACTAGTTAAGTTTTTAAGTCTTGTGTTATTGAGCTTCCCACCATGTGACAAAAATACCTGAAAAAATCAACTTAAAAAAATTTGCTTTGGCTCACAGTTTCAGAAGTTTCAGTCTATGGTCACATGGCTGTGGTGTTTCTGGGCCTGTGGTGAGGTAGAACATTGTGGTGCTGTAGAACATTGTGGTGGTAGGGCATGGTAGAGGAAAGCTATGCACCTCAGGACAGGCAGGAAGCAGATACAGCAAAGAAGCCAAGGGGCTGAAGACAAAATATACCCTTCAAATAAACTGTAATCCCAGCACTTGGGAGGCTGAGGCAAGCAGATTGCTGAGGACAACCTGGGCTATATAGTGAGTTAAACATCAGTCTGAGCGAACATTGTGGTGGTAGGGCATGGTAGAGGAAAGCTATGCACCTCAGGACAGGCAGGAAGCAGATACAGCAAAGAAGCCAAGGGGCTGAAGACAAAATATACCCTTCAAATAAACTGTAATCCCAGCACTTGGGAGGCTGAGGCAAGCAGATTGCTGAGGACAACCTGGGCTATATAGTGAGTTAAACATCAGTCTGAGCGC